ATATGTTCTTTTCTATTTAATCTTCGGACTTTGGGGAGAATTTAAAATCCCATCATTATCATCCCTATATAATGCATAAAGCATAAACGTTAAGTGTCTTGCATAATATCAAAGGCTATATGACAAAGTCAGGATTTGAATCCATACTCTGATATCCCATAGTAAATGCTGAATAAATATTTTTGAGTAATGAGTAGACTATTACAATAAAATCAATTCTATCATGTTGGTAACATAGAATAAGCAATAAGCATAAATAAGCCTAACAAACTTAATTAATTCAAAATTGGTCCCTAAGTAAATAAAAAAAACATTTAAAACAGATTCAGGCAGTCAGAATGTATTGGAAACATACAACATTGCACTTACTGACTTTCCTAATATTTTCCCATAGAGAGGCAAAGTGATACAGTCTGTAAAAATAACCCATTTGAGGAGTAAGGTGAAAGTTATCCCCGTTTTGGTGTGGCCTATAATAACCTTGAAGTATATAGAATTATATCATAAGGAAAAGTATGTGTGTGTGTCCTTAGGTGGTATGAGAATGTTAGAAGATCATCTTTGCTTTCAGTAGCCTCCCTCTTGAGGCCAGAGTGAGAAATTAGGGTCACTATGTCAACAAGTATGTAGAAATTGTCCCTGTAGCTAGCATTCCAATTCCTGGCAGCACGTGAAGGGAGATCTGTAAGAGGGTCCTTGTTGAGATTTCAAAGTTCCACTCATGGAGTATCCTAAAATGTCAATAAAAGACTCTTTATTCATAAATAACTGATATGCAGTAATTTACGTCTGTACATTGATCTCGAAAAGTCTGTAACCATCCAGTTTTTTTTTTTTTTTGCAAACTCTACATAAAACATCCAAACTGTCCATTTTGTTCAGTACAATATAACACAGCTGTTTGGCGTTACCAAATATATATGTATATATATTTATAGATATGTACATGTGCTGAAAAAGAAGCCAGTGCGCCTTCTCTAAGAAGTCCATCCGTATTTACTGTACAACATTCAGAATTTACATTGATAATACAAGGCACAAAAAGTGTGGTACGAAGCCAAGGCCATGCTTTCTTCAGACTTTCTCCTCTGCCTTGCCCACTCCTTCAGCTTCATGTCAAATTAAGTGTTCAGCCCTGCTTTTTATTTTTTGGCTTTGAACATATCAAATAAAAGTTGAGAGTGGTATGGGTTTGAGATATGAATCACTCGGAAGAACACCCCCATGTACCTTCCCCAAAATAAACAGAACAAAATGAAATCTGTTTTAAATTCTCTCCTACAAAAATGGAGGTAAACACCTACTGATGTGTTTTTGAGTTGGGTTTAGGAGAGGCCAGTTTCCCTGTACCTGCTCATGTTTGCAATATTTCTAGGTCAAGGCTTAATGGATCGCGTGTATCAATCAGATACAATTAGGAAGAATGGGAATTCTAAGTCTTTATTCCAGTTAAGAAAAGGAGAAAATTGCTTTTTTGACCAGAAAATTCTGACAGTATGAGTGTTTTCCCCAATTTCTTATGGAGAAGTTTCAAATGAGAGCAGGCTACATCCAGCATAAGCCTCAAGGAGTATTTCTGATTGATCACGCTCAGGGACTCTCTAATGAGGCTTAGATGGCTGCATCCTGGTGGTCCCTCCTCAGCACCATCAGAGATTGCTCAGGAGGAACATTGGGGCTATTAAGTCCAATTCTGATTATAATGCCCATGTCTCAGTAAAGGGGTCAGGAGGAATGATATTCTGCTTATGAACTTCTTCAAATATTCTCTCTCCTTTTATGATTCACCAGAACCACAATTAAATCTCTACTCTAGAGTTTACATTTTAAGGAAACTGCATCCTTTGTCCCAATTTTGGAATTTGGGTGTAAATAATGCTTGAGAAAACTTTGTCGAACACTTTTTTGAGTGTTCGGCAAAGTTTGAGACCAAAGGGTGTTTTCATTGTAATTATGCCTTTTGTAAAAGAATTTTGACACCTGTTTTTATTCACACAAAGAACTACATTACTAAATTCAGTGATATATTCTGCAATTCAAAGCTAAAACTTTTAGGGAGAAAAGAAAAAGATATAACCATTGATCAAATCAGTATTAGAGGTGGGAAGGAAAATTTTAAGCTTAGGCCTAACCATGAAGCTTACTGTCTTTTTTTTTGTCTTTGGATTCAGATGTAGGGTGGGTTTGAAGACATGAAGTTTAAATGTTACTGTCTTAGGCCCACCTCATGAGGACATTCCAAGTCCATGATCTTCACAGCAAAAGGAAAAAGCAATGAGTAGCTGCTTCAAAAACCACAATTATTCTATGTGAGTTAAATTTCCTACTTTAGATCACAGTACTACACACTAGTGACTAACAGCCAGGTCTGGTTTCCATCCCCTTTTATCTTTTGAAAAATTACAGCATACAAATTGCCATTTTGATTTTGTGGATGACCCTGCAGTGGGGATGTGAGGAGTCCATGGTAGACACTGGCTCTCCTAGAATTGCTTTTGCAAAAAACACCACATGCTGTCAATACAGCCAAACAGCTTTGAAACTGCAGCTTTTGAAAAGAGTTTGGAAAGGAAAAACACAAAATATGTAACACGTCTAAGATTAGTAACATTTTCACTTTTGTGACATTTGACAAAATACGTTTTTGCTTGTTCAGGAAAATTCTATGCAGACAAAACAGTGGAAACTACAGAAACGGTGGCCATTCAGCTTTTGGCTAAAGCATCAATTTTCAAATACAGTGCTAGGGCAAGAAACACCAAAGGGCTAATAAAATTTTGTCACCATCTGTAGGCCAACAATTTGTTCTCCCATTTGTCACAGATGTCACCTCTAGTCCAGTCAATGGGAATTACTAAGGATTCAAACTTTGCAATGTTTCATGAGGAAACATAATGAAAATGGGCCACAGAATGGGCCAGAGAGGCAAGTTTCTCAGCTCCTTCCTGATTCCTGTGACCTTCAGAGTTGGAACAGAGACCGTAGAAAACATTACCTTAGATACATCTGATAAGCTATATCATTCAACACATTTGAGGGCAGAGAGACTAAGAAATCAAAGATAAAACAGCTAAGAGGAAACAACAAAAGCATATCAAAAGATTTGATGATCTGAACTTCACAGATAAGTTTGCCAGAAGTTTGGCAAACAGAGAATACTATCGAAAACCAATCACAACATTTTAACATTCTGCTTATCAATCCTGATGTTGAGAAATATTTTTTTTCTCAAGGAAAATCATTGCAATAAATCCAGAGTTTTTTTAATCCAAAGAGAACCCTGTTTCAGTGATTTAATATTCCTTCTCCAAGCCAACTGGAAGAAAATTACAGGGACCACGGCAAAGGATAACACCTCTGCAGTTGGAGATAAAAATAATAAAAAAGAGAAAAAGTTCCCCTCTTTAAAGAGAACTGTTGTCAATTCCTTTTCATCTCTTACAAAAAGGCCAATAAAATTTTTGTGAGAGTGCATCTGAGTTTTATGAGACTTCTTGCATCGGTAAATGAAGTTTGCATTTAAATCCATTGAGCGAGCTTCCTTTGGCTTAAAGGATTTAATGTAAACCAGTAAGACTGCGCAAGCAATGTTGTAAAGACTATAAATTAACTTTATGGCACTGCAGTCTGGTGAAGCTGTGAATTGTAGTATTTTGGTGGCATAATTTTAAGGCATGTTTAAAGCATGACAATTAAGACTTCACTGTCTTTGAACACTGGGAGATTTGGAATTAAGTGGAATATTTTGTAAAAA